CTCGGTTTTGGAACGGGCCGTTCTGCATCCAGAACGGGCCGTTCTGCATCCAGAATGGCCCGTTCTGGTTTCAGAACGGCCCATTCTGCTGTACTGATAGTGTGTTAATTTTGCATCTGGAACGGCCCGTTTTAGATGCAAAATTAACACACCAAGAGTGCATCCAAAACAGCTCGTTTTGAAACTCCAGTTCCAGGTGTTTTCACAAAATTTGGCGTCCACGTGGTATCCACGTATGCATCTACGTGGCCAACAATTAACTCCTTTAAATAATTTGGACGGAAGTCCCAAATTGAAACCAATTAATTTATTTGGGACCAAATTGAAACTAATTAATTAATTTGGGACCAAATTGAAACCAGAAATAGAAGTGGGACTAAATTGAAACAAACAATTATTATAAGGGACCAAAATAGGTTTTTAGCCTTTACTTTAATTAGAGTGTATTAATAATTTATATAAATAAAAAAATTGGACAAAAAAATTAATCAACTAATTTATTTTAATAAATTTTATTAAAAAAAATAATAAAAATGATAGGAGAGAGAAAAATGAATGAAAGTAAGAGATAATGAGTGAATAAATGAACTTTTTTATTAGAAAATGAATAAATAATAAATTATCATATTATCTTTTAAATAAAATTAAGGTAAGAATATATATATATATATATATTATAGTAATTTAATTTAATTTTAAAAGAAAATAAAATATTTTCTTTCTCTTATTAATTTCATTCTCTCGTTCATTTTTTTTATTAATTATTTTTTATTTGTTTAGAGAGAGAGGGGGGGAGACATTATGAAAGATGAAAGAGAAATAAGTTAAAGAAAAAATTAAATAGGAGAGAGATAAATGAGTTAGAGAAGAAATTTAATAGGAGAGAGATAAATGAGTTAGAGAAGATATTTAATAGGAAAGAGAAATGAGTTGGAGAAGAAATTTAATAAGAGAGAGAAATAACTTAGTGAAAGAAATTAATAAGAAAGAGAAAATATTTAATTTTTATTTAAAATTAAATTAAATTACTATAATATCCTTTATACAAATTAACCAAATCAAAAGAAATGAGTAATTTTTTTGTCATAAAATTTTGGTGTAAATTACTAACATACTCTCACTAAAAAAATAAGTAGAAATATATTATCATTCCCCATATATATATATATATATATATATATATGAGAGAAAGAAAGGAGAGAGTAAAAAAAAATGTATAAAAGAGAAAAGACATATTACTTTCAATGTAAGTTCGTTATTATATAAAATGATATGAAAAATAATATAAGTGTCTCTATCTAACAAATAAATAATACAAAGAAAATCTATTTATCATAAATTTTATATTATATCTTAAATTAACAATATGTTTGTATCATAAAAAATAAGTTAGGGTTGATTTTTATAAAATCTATTATTTATTTTTATATGCATGTATTAAATTATTACAAAATATATCTTTGAACAAATTTATAATTATAGGCTAAATTAGAGTTTTATGTAATTTGAAGAGACTTGTAATTAAAGTTGATGAAAGATAAATAGGTTAGACACATGTCACATTATTTTCAACGAAATCTAGGCCTAGAGCTAATTTTTATTCAGTACGGATGAAAAGTAATATAATTTACTATACATATATTTGTTAAATTTAATAAATATAATTCTATAATATTTATATTACCGTTAATTATTTGTTAGCAGAAAAAGACACCCCATCCCTATATTATATTAAAAAAATGTTTTTATAAATAATTTTTCAAGAGTAGTTTTAAAATATAAAAAAAATGTGAATTACTTATGAATATTCTAGAATAAAATAAATAAATAAATAAGAGATAGTAATGTAGAAGAATGTGATTTAGGAGTTACAGAAAATAAATAAAAGTTAAAATAGGGAAACAATTATTTAAAGCTATTTTTTCTTAATATAACAGTATAAATAATATTTAATATATACATTAATTAATACTATATTTATAAAAATAAATAATAATATATTATATTTAATAATAATTAATTTATTGATTTAAATACATTAAATACAAATTTCTATATTATATGATAATGTTTAAAAAAAATTGATGAGAGAAATTTAAGTAATTTTTTAATCTCTTATCT